ACATAAGGATTGTTGATCACCCAGAAGAATGTGACAAATAAGAAGGCCTGAGATGGGAGAATGACACGAATTTGAATGGGATGATACAGGTGAATGAGAGGAACCTCAGAGAAGAAGATGATGCTGAGTGATAGTGGTAGAAGGAGGCTCTGGAATTGAAAGTGGAGCAAAGGTTGTTGTGCCTATCCTGATGCCTTCACTTCCTGGCCCCACATCAGAGTCATTAAAGAAGGTAAAATCTGCTGGGGAGAAAATGGCCAGGAATGCATTATCTTCTAAACAAGTAAGGTTTCCATGAATGCAAGATAATGGAAAAAATATACATCAGAAAGGCCTGAGACAAAAGAAGTCTTTTAATGATAAAACAGGCCTGGGGAAAAGGAGAGAATAATGAACCTAAATACTTGGGAGGCATAGGGCTGAGGTGGACAGGAATGAAAAAGCAGGAAACAGCTGCGGGTAAGAGGATTTTTGTCAAGGCAGCAGATGCCTGAATTACAAGGCTAGGGAGAGGAGGAGTAGACATCCGCTAGCCAAAGACAAGGAAGCAGTACCATTTGGCTGAGGATACCACACTTAATGGCCTTATGATAATAGAGAGTGGTGGCAAAAGATCTCACTCAAGCACCAGAGAAGGCATCTTGGTCTGTAGATACCTGGTGCTCTCATGTTTAATGCTTGTTCTTTTACCTTGTTCCAAGACAGCAGGGTAGGATGCATGGTCGGATGAGTCTCTGCATATCAAGTATGCTTGACTTTTGACTAGTCCTAGTATTGTCCTGGAAGAAGTCCTAGTGGCAGAAAGCCTAGTGTCTGAAACTATGGACCTGAAGGCAAGGAACCTCAGGTCTGGGCACTTGATTATTTTGTGTTTTGGAAGGCTGTTCGGCTCCTGAGTGCACAGCTTTTCTCATATGGAATGATGAGACTAGTTGGAGTGGGCAGTGTCTCCATGTGTGGCAGTAGGATCAGGCCAAAATTGGTGATAATGGAGGGTTGGAACATCATCGTAGTGAATCAAGAAAGAGTAGGGGATAGGAACTGGAATTGGACTCCAAACCCAGTTCCCTAAATGGAGGAGAGGAGGAAGGGGGCTGGGGCATCACTCTTATCAGCTCCAAGATAATGATAAAGGAGAAAACTGATTCAGAGTAGAATAGTGGTAGAGATCAGGTTTGTTGTTGGGTGAGGCTTGGAGGGGGGGTGGGGGACAGAGAATGGTATGAACTATCTTATAATTATTTAAGGATGTGCTGTGCTACTAGCCCCATAGCCTAAGGAGATCAAAGAAAGTGGAACAGATCCTATAATTATTTATAGCCTCTCTTTTGCGTAACAAAAAAAAAAAATAGAAACTAAGGTAGTGCCTATCAATTGGGGAATGACATTATGGTACATGAATGTAATCAAATACTATTTAGCTGAAATAAATGAAGAAAGAAACCATCTCAGAGAAACCTGGGAAGATTTACATAAATTGATGCCGAATGAAGTGAGCAGAACCAGAAGAACAATTTATACTATAGTACAAATATTATAAAAACCAACAAATTGACGGAGTTGTGAACTGGTCCAGCCATTCTAGAAGGCAAATTAGGATTGTGCCCAGAAAAAGCTATTAAACTGTGCATACCCTTTAGCCCAGTGATACCACTACTAAGTCTATACCTCAAACAAATGAAAAAAGAAAAAGGACCAATATACACAAAAGTATTTATAGGAGATCTTTTGGTGGGGGTAAAGAATTGGAAACTGAGGGAGTGCTTATCAACTGGGGAATGGCTGAACAAGATGCATGAAGGTAGTGGGATGCTATTGTACTGTAAGAAATGATGAAAGGGATGGTTTCAGAAAAACCTGGGAAGACTTCTATGTAGTGATGCAAAATGAAGTGAGCAGACCCAGGAGAATAATTTATACAATAAACAACAATATTGTAAAGATAATCAACTTTGTTCAGGCAGAACTGGTACCTCTAGTGGGAGGTCTGCTGAGCCCTCCTCAGGGCTGCTCATCCACCTTTGCTGTCCGTCTGTCACCCAGCCCTCACCTGTGGCTCCAAGCAGCGGTAGCATGGGCAGTGACCACATCCTGGTAAGCCTTCTCAGGAGACAAGCTAAACCAGGGTAAGGGTAACCGATAGGCCTCAAACCTGTTGGTGAGTTAGGGGGCTGTCTCCCCCAAGCATGTGAAGACTTTCCCCAGGGGGATGGGCATTGTTCCTACGACCATGAAGGCAGCTGAAGCAGGCGCTTCGGGGCGCGTAGAGCTTGGTCAGGCATCGAATACGCCAAAGTCATTCGCTACATCCCAGCTGTCACCAGCTAGCTTGACTTTTGTCTTGCCAGCGGACTTAGATGACTCTGGAAGAGAGAGTGAAGCTGACAACTTTGTGCAACTCTGCCTCACTTCAATCCAATTCACTTGCAATTCCAGACATCACCTTTGTAGAAATGGAATGAATAATGAGTTTACTAATCACCTTGATTTGCCTGAGCTCCTTATCATCCCGGAGAGGCTGAAATAACCTGAGAATCAAAATCAGTTTGACATTTCAGTGATCCTTTGCGGTGTCCACTGGGTGAACAAAGAACACCTCTGCTTGTGCCAGCAACCACAAGGCTGGCTCAAACTGGTTCATACCAATCCCAAACAGAAATAGCTTGCACAAGCATCCTGGTTCTGGGTACTCTGCATTCCTACTATTCTCCCGCCTCCCTTTGTTGTAAAACCACATAATCCATTTCCTAAACCTTCAATCAATTGGAGCAGACAACCAAGGTCTACTGTTCCCCATGCGCACATATGCTATACTCACCTAATAAATGCTTCTGAGTTTTACACTTGCACTGTGCCCCCCTTCCCTCTGTTCAGGTGGACACTGTACCCCAATTAATCATTCTGCCACAACTGATCAACCATGATGTCATTGGTCCTCTCCAAAATTAAGAATGAACAACAACTGGTCAATACAATGACCAACCACAATTCCAAAGGGTTTATGATGAAATATACTATCTCCAGATTGAAAACTGATGGACTCAGAGGGAAGGCTGAAGCATATATCTTCTTTTTCCTTTTTTTTGGGGGGGGTGGGGGGAACACGACTAATGTCATCATTTGTTTTGCATGATTATACATATTTGTAATAGGTTTTGTTTTTCTTGCCTTCTCAGTGGGTGGAAGGAGGAAGAGAATCTGGAACTGAAAGCAAAATTAAATTAAATTTAAAAAATTAAAAGGCTTAACAAACTCTGATCCACATAATTATCATTCGTGATTCCAGAGGATTGATGAGGAGGAATGCTGCCCATCTGACACAGAGGTGATGGTTTAATATGCAGGATGAGATGTATTTTTGGAGAGGGCCAATGTGGGAATTTGCTTTGCTATGCTTATTTATTACAAGGGTTTTATTTTTCTTTGTTTTTCCATGAGGGGAGGCAGTAAGAGAGAGAGAGAAAAAAAGTTTGATAATTAAAAAAATAAAATTTAACTTAAATAAGTTAAAAGAAAAAACTAAATTAAGGATGTGCCGATAAAGGTCTCTCCTCATTCATTACATCTTTAGGGGTTTTCTTGAATGAAGAATTCTCTGATCATTAATGAAGACTCTCTAGTCTGATTTCTCCTTTATTGATTATATTTATAGGACTTCTTTGTAGAATGAATTTCCTAATGTTCAGTAAAATAGTTCCTCTTCCAGTTTTTAAACTAGAAGACAAAGTTGGGTATATTTATTATACCACCAACTACACCCACTTTAAAAAATCATTGACTCTGGAAGTGGGAACTAAACAAAAGTAAAGATAATTCTAGAACTGAAATCTCCAGAAGTGATAGTTCCACTGTACTCTACACTGATCAGTTTCATGTTCAATTCTGGGTACCACAACGTAGGAAGGAGGTTGATAAACTGGAGAATACCCAGAAGAAGGCAACTAAGACAGTGAAGGGCTTCAAGATCATACCATATGAGCATCTCCTAAAGGAAATGAGAATTATTAGCAAGGAGAAAAAGATTTAGTGGGGAGATCATGGCTACCTTCAAGTATGCGAAGGACTGGTATTGGGAAGAGGGAAGCCTTCTCGGCCCTCGAGGACAGAATTAATAACACTGAGTGGAAATTACAATGAGGCAAATTTAGACTTGAAGTAAAGGAAAACTTCCTAATAATTAGAGCTATCCAAAAGTGGGATACACTGCCTCAGGAGCTAGTAGGTTTCCCTCACAGGAGGTATGTAAGCAAAGGCTGGACGACCACTTAGTAGACTTTTCAAGAAATCTATGCTGTACACAATGACCCACCACCATTCCAAAAGACTCATGATAAAACATGCTCTCCAATTCCAGAGAGAGAACCGATGGATTCAGAGTGCACACTGAAGCATTTTTTCCCCTCTTGTTCTTGTTTTTGAGCTTCTTTTTTAAACATGTGAAAATTTGTGTGAAATTTGATTTTGTATAACTATACATATTTGTAATAGGTTTTGTTTTTCTTCTCATTAGTTAGAGGAAAGGGAGAGGGGGATAATTTGCAACCAAAAAAAGAAAAAAGTAAAAATAAATAAAATTATTTCTAAAAATATATATGTTGTATGATACAGTGAGTATTCATGTCCAAGTGTGACTTAGACCTGTTTGTGTCTAAGATCCCTTTGAACTCTGAGATTCTGTGATCCAGACTGAAGTTAGCTAAGTGATCTTCACTAGCTCAGGTTGACTGAATGATGCTGTGATTCTATCTCAAGGCAATGCAGTTAATATAACTTGAAATTATCCAATCCAGAGGTAATTAATTTACATCTCAAGAGATATTCCTTTATAGGCAGTCTCCAAATTAAGAATAACCCAGCCATAGGCAAGAAAGTTATTTTAAGTCACTACCTTCTATCTTTTTGTTCCTTGGCTCTAAAGGTAATTAAAGTGAACCACATTCATATCAAATACCTAAAAGTTTTAGTAAATCAATTTTGAGATCTTGTAGTTTAGAAACCACTTCAAATCCTAAACTTATGCTATGCAATTGTCGCCAAATGGCAACTAATATGTATATCAGGGGAAAGGCAAACATAGTTTTCTCTTAAAAATACCACAACAATTTTATAGTTTGTCACAAAATCTGAGATCTTGACTCTAGAATCAAACAATTTACACGTCTTTATGAGTCCTCTTCTATGTTATTATATCTCTGACAGTTAATTTCTAGGATTAAGTCTCTGATAGAGCATAAACTACAATCCACAGGTTTTCCCATGGTCAATTATATTGACAGAGTTTTGCTTCAATATGAATTCTTTCATACTTCCTAAGGATGAGCACATGTTGAAGGCTTTCAACATTCATTACATTTATAAGGATTCTCTCTAGCATGAATTTTTTGATATTATTAGAATGTTCCTTTGAGCTAAAAAAAATTCCCCTAGATTATTACATTTCACTAGGTTTTTCACCAGTATGAGTTTTCTTGTGTGTGGTAAAGTTTTGTCTCTGCCTAAATGTCTTTCCACATTCATCACATTCAAAAGGTTTCTCTCCAGTATGAATTCTCTGATGTTGCTTAAAGTTTCCACTCCGGTTGAAAGCTTTCCCACATTCACTACACTGAAAAGGTTTCTCTCCGGTATGAATTCTCTGATGCTTAGTCAAATCTCCTCTCTGAATGAAAGCTTTCCCACATTCATTACATACATAGGATTTCTCTCCAGTATGAATTCTTTGATGTTGAGTAAGGCGGTAATTGTTGCTGAAGGCTTTCCCACATTCATTACATCTAAATGGGTTCTCTCCAATATGAATTCTCTGATGGTCAATAAAGGATGTAATGTTGCTGAAGACCTCCCCACATTCACTACATTCTCGGGGTTTTTCTTGAGGATGAAGAATTCTCTGATGATTAATAAAGAATTTCCTTAGGCTGAAGTTTCTCCCACATTCATTACATCTAAAAGGTTTCTTTCGTGAATGGATTCCTTGATGTTCAGTAAGGTACTTCTTCCTGCTGAAGGCTTTCCCACATTCATTACATTTATAGGGTTTCTCCTGAGAATGAATTTCTTGATGTTCAGTCAGATACTTTCTTTGACTGAAAGCTTTCCCACATTCATGACACTGGAAAGGTTTTTCTCCAGTATGAATTCTCCTATGTTTATTAAGATCTCCCCTCTGGCTGAAAGCTTTCTCACACTCATTACACTGAAAGGGTTTCTCTCCAGTATGAATCCTTTGGTGTTGCACAAGAGATGAGCTGTGCCTGAAGTCTTTGCCACATTCATTACATTTATAGGGTTTCCCTCGAGCATGATTTCTCTGATGCTCACTAAGGTGGGAACTATTACTGAAGGCTTGCCCACATTTCTTACATAGATAAGGCTTCTCTCGAGTATGAATACTTTGATGTCGAGTTAGTTGCTGATTGTCACTGAAGGCTTTTCCACATTCATTACATTCAAAGGGCTTCTCTTCAATGTGGATTCTCTTATGTTTCTTAAGGTACTCTTGCTGGCTGAAGGCTTTTCCACATTCATTACATACATAAGGCTTCTCTTGAGTATGAATACTTTGATGTCGGGTGAGGTGGTAATTATTGCTGAAAGTTTTTCCACATTCATTACATTCAAAGGGCTTCTCTCCAGTGTGGATTTGAACATGTTGCTTAAGGTATCCCTTCTGGCTAAAAGCTTTTCCACATATATTACATTCAAAGGGCTTCTCACCAGTATGAATCCTTTGATGTAGAATAAGGGATGAATTGTTGCCAAAGGTTTTCTGACATTGATTACACTCAAAAGGTTTCAGTCCAGTATGAATTATCTTATGTGTATTAAGGTTTCCCTTCTGGCTAAAAGCTTTCCCACATTCATTACATTTATAGGGTTTCTCTCCAGTATGAATTCTTTGATGTACAGTAAGGCATGAGTTGTTGCTAAAGACTTTCCCACATTCATTACATTTACAGGGTTTCTCTCCAGAATGTATTCTATGGTACTGAATAAGGTCTGAATGGTAACTGAAGGGCTTTCTACACTTATTATACTTAGAAAGTGTCTTTCCCAAGGAAAGTTTACTACATTTGCTTAGTTCTGAAAATTGCTCAAAGCTTTTTTCAATTGTACATTTATGGAGACTTCTTCTCATTGGACCTGTCTGTTGTGGAAGAACTGACACTAGATTGAACTTTCCTCCAAAGTCATGAACACTCAACTCATTAAAAGGTTTTCTGGGAGTGACTATTGATCTCCAATGCTGTCTTTCTGTGCTGCCCTTTTGCCTGGCGAATCTGACATCACAATTCCAAATTTCTTCAAACTTGAGATACCTGGAATCATCCTTTGTGAATCTCTTCTTGGATAACTCTCTCACAGAAATACCATCCTTTGGAATTGACTTCTTGGTTTCATATCTTGTCTTCTGAGCAAAAGAAGCTGAAAGAAGGGGAAAAAACTGTTAAAATTCACTGATCTCTGTATTCAGAAAAAAGAAGTTATTTTATAAGACCTAGATTCCATATCTCCTGAAAGACAACGATGTTTGCCCAAGCACCACCTTCGGCATGAGGTCTTTCCTGTTCCTCCCAGCTAGTGCCTTCTGTACCAATATTATCTTGTGCCTTTTTTTAAGTTAAATATTGTATTTTTTTCCAATTACATGCAAAAAAAAATTTTAACATTCATTTTTTAAAATTCTGAGTTCCAAATCCTCTCCCTTTCTTCCTCCCTTTTCCCCTCATTGAGAAGGCAAACAATTTGATACAGGTTATACATGTGCAGTTATGAGAACATATTTCCTTATTAGTCATGTTGTGAAAGAAAACACAGACCAAAACAAACATGAAGACAAAATAAAGTGAAAAATAGTATGCTTTGATCTGCATTCAGACTCCATCAGTTCTTTCTCTTGAGGTGGATAGCATTTTTCACATAAGTCCTTTGGAACTGTCTTAGATCACCGTATTGCTGAGAAGAGCTAAGTCATTCACACTTCTTCATGGTACACTATTGCTGTTACTGTGTACAATGTTCTCCTGGTTCTGCTCACTTCACTTTGCATCAGTTCATGTAAGTCCAGTTTTTTTTTAGAGCATCCTGCTCATAATTTCCTATGGCATGATACCATTCCATCAAAATCACATACCATAACTTGTCCAGCCATTCTGCAGTTGATGGGCATCCCCTCAATTTCCAATTTTTTGCCACCACAAAAAGAGCTGCTCTAAATATTTTTGTACATATAGATTTTTTTTTTCCTTTTTTATTTCTTTGTGAAAAGACCTAGTAGTAGTATTGATGGATCAGAGGGTATGCATGGGGGCAGCTAGGTGGTACAGTGGATGAAGCACTGGCCTTGGAGTCAGGAGGATCTGAGTTCAAACCCAACCTCAGACACATAACACTTACTAGCTGTGTGACTCTGGGCAAGTCATTTAACCTCATGCCTCAAAAAAAAAAAAAAGTATGCATGCTTTTATAGTTCTATAGGCATAGCTCCAAATTGCTCTCCAGAATGGCTGAATCAGTTCACAACTCTATGAACAGAGCATTAGTATTCCAATTTTCCCACATCCCCTCCAACATTTGTCATTTTCCTTTTCTGTCATATTAGCCAATCTGATAGGCGTGAGGTGGTACCTCAAAGTTGTTTTAACTTGCATTTCTCTAATCAATAGTGATTTTGAGCATTTTTTCATATGACTACAGATACCTTTAATTTCTTCATCTGAAAACTGCCTGCTTATATCCTTTGACCATTTATCAATTGGAGAATGGCTCGTATTCTTATAAATTTGACTCTGTTCTCTATATATTTGAGAAATGAGGCCTTTATCAAAGAAACTTGCTGTAAAAAATTTTTTCCCAGTTTTCTGGCATTGGCTTCACTGGTTTTGTTTGTACCTTGTGCCTTTTTCAGATGGGATATGCTAGTTTATGTGAATGTTGTCTTCTCCATCAGAATGTAAGTTCTTTGAGGGCAAACACTGTTTAATTTTTGTCTTTGTAACTCCAGAACCTAACATAGTTTGGCACATATTTATTATTTGTTAAGCGCTTATTGATTAATTTTTAAAAACACACACACACACAAAGAATGGTGAGTTTGGAAAAGATAGAACAAACATCTTCAAGGAGAAATTGAAGACAAAAACAGGTAAGAATACAGTAACAAAGAAACTATCCAGGACTAAATGCATAACACTCCAGGTTATGGAAAGAATTTATTCCTATCATCAGAGAACCACCAGAAGCAATCTTTTATGAAATATTTGCCCAGTGAGAAATAGGAAACAGGTTATGGAAACTACAGATCAGTAAGCCTGAAGCTATCTATGGCAAAATTCAGGAAACTATTATAAAATAGCTGTTTTGTGAGACCTCAAAGAAGGAAAAGGCATGGATTCAATAGGAATACATTGGCAAAACTAACCTTTATTGATAAGATTTCTGAACAAATAGACGAGGGGATGCCAAAAGCAGCCAATATCTAGAGTTTGGCAAACCATTTGGCAAAGTCTTTCAAGATATCTTTGTGGTGGGGCAGCTAGGTGGTGCAGTGGATGAAGCTTTGGCCTCGGAGTCAGGAGGACCTGAGTTCAAATCCAGCCTCAGACACTTAACACTTACTAGCTGCGTGACCCTGGGCAAGTCACTTAACCCCAACTGCCTCACCCCCCCCCAAAAAAAGATGTCTTCAACCTATAGGGAGTCCTCTAGTAGCACATCTTAGCTATATTAGATATGTTGGCCCTCTCCTGGTCTGTTTTTATCAAGACGTTTGATGAAATCATAGATAGCTGGTAGAAACAAGCATGTGTGTAATACTCAATGTACTAGATAGCTGAATCAAAACCAATTTTTTTTTAAGCTCAGCAGGCTGGGACAATGAGTGTGCCTTGTGATCCAATGCTGCTGGTTTCTTCACTCGTCCTTAAATAAGATACTCCACATTCCTGCTCGAAGCATTTTCACTTGCTGTCCCGCAGGCCTGAAACTCTCTCTCTCCTCATCTTCACCTCCTGGCTTCTGTGACTTCCTTCTGGTCTCAGCTAAAATCTCACCTTCCGCAAAAAGCCTTTCCCATTGGGGCAGCCAGATGACCCAGTGGATAGAGCACCAGCCCTGGAGTCAGGAAGACCTGAGTTAAAATCTGACCTCAGACACTTGACATTTACTAGCTGTGTGACCCTGGGCAAGTCACTTTACCCCACTGTCTTAAAAGCCGTTCCCAGTTCTTCCTAATTTTAGTGCCTTGCCTCTATTGATTATCTCCAATTGATCCTCTTTAATATGCTGAAAGTACATAGTTGTCTCCTTCATTAGACTATGAGCTCCCTGAACGCAGGGACTATTTTTGTCTTTCTTTGTATCTCCAACACTTGGCGCAGTGCCTGGCACATAGTAAGTGCTGAATAAAAGTTTAATGACTTGACATGAAATTTATGGATAAGTGTGAAGCCTTACACTTCAGTTTAAAACATCATCTCAAAAAAAAAAAGTTGGTTAGGCATCACACTCAAAGGACCTGAAGATTTTGGTTGCCACAAGCTCACTATGAACCAGAGTTTCTTACAGACACTGCCAAAGTGAATACAATCCTGAGCTCTATGAATGGAGAAGCCTTTTCACATCATTAGTGTCAAGGTCATAGAAAGACTTTGTCTTACTCTACTCTGTTCTACCCCACCACATTTGGACTTTTCAGCTCAGCTTTTCCTCTTCCTCAGTAGTTTTAGTCATGTCTGACCCTTCATGACTCCATTTAGGGTTTTCTTGGCAAAGATACTGGAGTGGTTTGCCATTTCCTTCTCCAGTTCATTTTTATGGATGAGGAAAGTGAGGCAAACAGGTGAAGTGACCTGCTCAGGGTCAAATAGCTGTCTGAAGCTAGATTTGAACTCCAGTCTTCCTGACTCCAGGCCCAGAGCTCTATCCACTGAGCCACCTAGTTCACTTCTAGACACCGTATTTTAAAAGTAACTCAGATAAATCATGGTTTGTCCAGAGGAATGGGCCCTTGGCCGCGACACAAAGCTACTATTGGCCATTTGAAAGCAGCTGAGTGAGCAATCAGCCAACCTGTTAATCAACAAGCATTTAGCCTGCATCTTTCCTATGCAA